GGTCTGCCGTTGGTTGATACGACCCGACTCGTTCCAGTTTACCGGTTCAGGTCAGTCGAAGTTCTTCCACGCCAACATTTTAAAACCATTTCCTTGTGATGTTGAATAAGGAAAATGCCGCCGCAAGGTTGGAAGCACACCGTCGTCGCCAACATCCCAGCATGCTGCTGCATCAATATCCACATAGTTTTTGGTCTTTTTTTGTACTTAAGTGATAAATCTGTCCGACATTCAAACCCAATCTAAGTATTAAATACTTAAATAAAAATGGTCAAAAGAAGGTGTTTCTACACTACAGACTATACATGTAATTAGCGTGTACTAAGAACTAACCAGGCAACCTTCCAACACAAACGGACTTCTGTTCAGATCCCTCCTGTGCACGTTGGAGCCGTATGTACAAAGCATCCCGTCTTTGGTGTCGTCCTTCTGTGTCCTGTGTGTCTTCATTCCCTTTAGCTCCATTGGAGATGTGATCACATGTAAGTCGTGTATAAAAAAAGCTCTGATTTTTTTTCTACAAATCTTTTACATTCACAGTCATTCCTTTATATACGAGCATGAAAAACCGGTGAAGATGAGACGCTACAGTCGAATGCACGTTGCCAAAGCTGCATTCTCAAGTTTGTTTTTAAGCTAAAATGTGTTTTTCTGCAGCTTGCATGTGAATCAAAGCCAAAGAGGGAAAGCAAGAGAAGGAAGCATGGAACAGGTTGGTGTGATGCGTATTGCCAAAGCTGCCCCGTCCGTTGGATTTGTTTCCTCCACCTACACGTCATTCCAGGTAATGGCTCCAGCTTCCCACCTTCTGCAGCGCCGGCGTGTGGAGTGTGTGTCTTCAGATAAAACTCTGATAGCTATAGTTCAGCAACCACTTCGTCTTTACAAACAGCTTAAAGAACCATCATCACGAGATGGAGTGTCCTGCTTTGCTCTGCTAGGTCTGCACCAGTGGCTGCTCTGAAATGTCCTCCGGCGTCTTCTCTCCTTCGCGAGATTTTTTCCTCTTCTTGTGGCCTGAGGAAAGGAGACATGGAAAAGTTATTTATGGGGAAAGTGGCATGAAAATTTAACCATTTTTCCATCAGGGTCACGGCGACTGAGCACGTCTGCTGCCTCACACAGAGATGCACCGTACATGCAGCTAACCCAGGGATCAGGTTTCATTTATCTTTGGCTGGAATCAGAGAAAAGCTTTTGAATTATTGTTCCTGTAAAGGTTATTTGGAAAGCTTCAGCTGTGAGATATGCAACTTTAGAAAAGAGTGTTTTTTTTGTTGAAGTGTCCACACAGAGCTACACAAACCCAACACACACCCTTGTGTTAATTCTCTGCAAACTGGTTTTCATTTAAATTAACAGAATTCAGTAGCGAAGAGGAAAATTTATATCTTAAATAGCAGTTTGTGTAGTTTTATCTTTGTCAAACCATCAGCAGCTCACAGTCACAGAGCACAGAGCAGTGGAGGAGCTCTTTAAGACACTACAGGAGAATACAAAGTAGGTAGAACACTAATGTATGTTTAAGTAGGAAGCTGAGTGTGTGTGTGTGTGTAGTGTGTGTGTGTGTGTGTGTAGTGTGTGTGTGTGTAGTGTGGAGTGTGCAGTGTGTATGTGGTTGAGTTTGCATGTGAATCAAATCCAAGGAGGAGGAGACAGAAGCATAGAAAAGGTTTGTGAATAGGTGGCTGTGTGTGTGTGTGTGTGTGTGTGTGTGTGTGTGTGTGTGTGTGTGTGTGTGTGTGNTGTGTGTGTGTGTGTGTGTGTGAGAAAGAGAGAGAGAGACTAACTGAGTTTGAGCAGCAGTTTCTTGCCCAGCGTGTCCTCTGAACCGCTCAGCGACAGGCTGCTGATGAAAGGCGACGTGTCCGTTTCTATGGGAACAGAGGCCACATCTGAGAGAGAGAGAGAGAGAGAGAGAGAGAGAGAGAGAGAGAGAGAGAGCGAGAGAGAGAGGGATGTGACCCTGTTAGTGAAGAACAGCTTTGGTTCCTGCTGGAGGACAAATTAAGGTCCCGTATCATGAGTTTGTGAGGAAGGTGCAACTACAGACAAGTTGAGAGCAACTTTTCGGGAAGCTTTGGCAGCTTAAGGGAATATTTAGATGTGAAAATAAAACCGGTTTGTTCAGGAGTGGATGCTGATGAAGGTCTTATTAGTTCCCTGCCAATGCTAACTACCCCAAAAGAAAAGCACAAAAGGCGGAGGCTGCGTCTCAGTTCAGGGGCCGCGTCCTTCTCAGGCTGAATGCATCGCAGCAGCACAGCCAGTCGTTCCGTTTCAAAGGCTCTTTTAAATGTGCATCCGAAATTGACCTTTTTTTTTTTTTTCCTGGTTGGGAAAAGAATACTGTGGTTGGACCGCAAAAATCCCACCTATCCACATAGGGTGTGCAATGTGGGGAGGACACCGCAAGTCGGATTTCTTCCAAATCCCGACTCGTCCAATAATGTCCCAGTTTGAAATGTAAGCACTGAGTGAAATAGTTAAAAACACAAAAAATGTGTCCCTGCTGCTGTCAAGGTTTCGAGGCAATCAGAGCAGCCCTTTAGGATGCCATAAGAGCAGGAGATATGATCTACTCACTACAATGAGCAGGTGGGTAAATAATACGGAGGAGTGAGAGTGCAATATTACAAAAATATATCAATAAAAGAATAAAAAAATAAATAAAAGTGGAAATAAAAAGAAGAATAAATAAAATAAAAAATAACTAATGTGGGAATATAAAGCAATATTAATCAAAAATTAATTAATAAAAGAAAAGGCTAAAAAAAAAAGTAGAAATATAAAGACAAAGAAATAATATTTTTTAAATTGTTTTTTTTATCATTTGGATTTTTTTCACATTTCTAAATTTTATTTTTTCAAAATTATTTTTAAGTTATTTTTTTACTTTTTAATTTTTTTTTTTCATTTTTAGTTATTTATTTAATTTTATTTTTTGCTTTTAAAGTATACTCCATAAACAAATAAATATCTAAAACATCTGTTAAAGAAAACTATTAAAACTAAACACATCACTTGGTCACATGTGAGTATTTTGCATGTGGACGTCCTGCCTTTTTAGCACATTCACGTGAAAGGCTTGTTTGTAAAAATATCCTACAATAATTAATTTATAGCTTTTTTCTAGAACATTCAGGTGTTTTGTAGCTGAAACTCTGACAAGTTCAAGTTCACTGTCACATACATACATTTATCACCATTACAGATACGGAGACCAGTTTCTCTCCAGGTCTGACCTCAGATTACTCGTCAGCGAGCGTTTGTTTAACATAAATGGAGTGAAACGAACCAGCGTGTGCTTCAGTCTCGGATCGGTCCTCTCTGATGTAGGGGATCTCATCCATCCTGAGAAACACCGAGTCACTGGGACTCTTCTGGCCGTCCGACTTGCTGCCTGCACACACATTAAAACACACAGAGACCCGTTGCATTTACGACATCCGAGGTGTGAAGTGTTTTATGAATTAGTCGACAAATGTGTTTGAACTTTTTCTATGTTGGTTTTCTTACACTGCTGCGACAGAAAATAAAATCTCGTTGGACTCTGGAAAAAACATTTTTCACTTTTTTGGGAAACTTGAGTCAAGAACAACTCAGTGGTTTGAGGATATTTGTCAGGAAAAAAAAACTTTTCGTCACAGTTTGTGCAACCAGTCATGGAAAAAAATGATAAGAGCACCCTTGTTTCCTTCAGTTTCTTGTTCATTTTAATGTCTGGTACAACTAAAGGCACATTTGTCTGGACAAACACAATGATAACAACAAAAGTAGCTCCTAAGAGTTTAATTTCAGAGCTGGTGTCTCGACATGTTGTCTCGGTAATAACCAAAATCACTGAAGCTCTCACATCAATATGATCATTGTGCTGCCAAAAACAGTGCTTGTAGGCATTCCATGTTTTCTTTTCTGTCTGGTTTAGTCACATGATGCACACAGGAGTTAGTGCTTGATGGCATAAGCACTGTTTTTGATTTGGGTCTTGGCTGCTCTCCACCAGCTTCTGGCATCGTTCCCGATCATCCTGCTACCTCTGGTAACGGTACCACCTCCAGCCCGGTTCCTTCAGTCAATTTGTCCTCATGTCTTCCTGTTTTGTTTTTTTTTTTAAATTCTGTCCTTGCACAGTCCAGAGATGATTCTGTCACCAACGACGAGCGCCTGGTACGAGGGAACGTCTAAATCAGGGGTGCCCAATCCTGGTCCTCGAGGGCCACAAGCTCTGCAGAAGCCTGATAACCATCCTGATCATGTGAATCAGGTGAGTTGGAAGAGGGGACCATCTAAAACATGCTGGATAGGGGCTGTCGAGGACCAGGATTGGGCACCCCTGGTCGTCTAAATAATGGATGAGTGTTATCTCACCATGTCGCCATCCCAGTAAACGGTTTGTTGAAGCAGCAGTGTGCAGTGAAAGGGCGGCTCGGGCGTTAAAAGCAGTAAAAGTCACTCCTACAGCACGTAAACATGATTGTGTTTGCATTGAAATTACTTTAAGATTTGCACTTTGCACAGGTACTTAATGTTTTAGTAAAGCTGCATGTGGAATAAATGGTTTGCTTGAAAATAAAGTTTGGGCTAAATGTTACCCTGAATCTCTACAGTCCATCTTCTACCTCACCTCCAAGTATGTAACTGTGATTTTACTTTTAACCCTAAAGCCAAACCCAGACGCTGCTTTTTGAGCATGAGCCAGCTTGTCTAAAGTTCTGCAGCTCAGACTGGCTGCCGTAAGTAATTTCTCAGACAAACTAAGCTTTTAGACACCTCTATGCCTCCATCATGTCGTTGATATTCACTCAGCGCTCCGTCTCTCAGCCTTTTTTCTCTCCTCAGACTGTCTTCGTCACCTGTTTACTTCTGGCTGGCTCGGGTTATTGAACTCCATTACTCCTGAAAACTATCCCTAATGGATTTTTTAAAAACTCATTTTAAGAAGCAGCTTTTTTGTTTGTCTGCCACAAATAATCTGTTGTCAGTCTGAACTGTACGCCTGCTCCTCCACTAGACTGTGCAGTCGAGGCTACTTACGGACGATGCGGTTCTTCTCGTTCAGCAGCGAGGTGCTGTGAGGGACGCTGGACTGCTGTCCTCGGCTTCGGGCGGAGCTGGGCCTGCTGGGCTCCCTGGGCGGGGGCATGAGGGTGGTGGCGGTGGTGGTGGTGGTGGTGGTGTGGTGCTCCGGGGGCATCAGCGTGGCTGCGTGCTCCGCGGCCGGCGGCTCCGGGGTCGGACTGTTGCCTTCTGTCAGACGAGTGTCGGCATCCGGAGTCTGAGGAGAGCTGTCCATGCGGGTGGCCGTTACGGCGTTCTGGTAGTGGCTGCGGGTGATCTGACACACAGGAGCAAAGCATTCTGGGTGTTAGTCAGGGTTGAATTTGAGATAATTTCTCTCAAACAAGACTTAATGTGCAGCTGTCAAATTCAGTTTTAGCACATTTATTATTTAGAAAAATCAATTAAAGAAACACACGAAGAGTTCATTTGTGAAAAACAGAGAACGACACTTTTGTAGATTTTCAGGAAACTTAATTTTTTTGTTGTTTGCTTGAGATCACATCAATCAAACTGAAGCTGAGTGGATTTGACTCAGTAGAAATGACATAAAACAGAGAAAACTTAAGTTTGATTGATGTTGTCTCAGGTGGACGATGAAAAAGTGGGTTTTCTGAAGCTTTGTGAAGATGGAGTTATCTGTTCCTCTCAGGCTGCAGGTGGCTCAGTGGTTACCATCGTTGCCTCGCAGCAAGAAGGTCGCATCCCGGTGAGGACACCCAGGATCTTTCTGCGTGGAGTCTCCATGTTCTCCCCGTGCAGCGTGGGTTCTCTCCGGGTTCTCCGGCTTCCTCCCACAGTCCAGAAACATGTTGAGGTTAATTGGTGATTGTAAATTGTCCGTAGGTGTGAATGTGAGTGTGCTTGGTTGTCTGTCTCTAAGTGTAGCCCTGTGATAGGCTGGTTACCTGTCCAGGTGAACCTGCCTTCACCCTGAGTCAGCTGGGATAGACTCCAGCCTCCCATGACCCTGGTGAGGATTAAGCGGTGTATAGATGATGGATGGACGGACGGACATGTTCCTCTCAAAGACTGGAAAACAAACCGAGCTCCCTTCACTGCACACAGCGGCTTCAGAAACAAACTGCTAGAAGTTGAAAAGCTTGTGAAACTTTCACTTTTTGAAAAACATGCTGCTACAATTTATGACGAAAGCGTTTTTCACAAAATCCACCATTTTTAGACGTCTTTGTTTTCACCTTCGTCGTGCAAAAAAAAACGATGCAGCCTGACGACAAGCTTCAGGCTGGAAGTTCTGTAAAGAACATTCAGGTCGTGTTGTCTGCTCTCGTTGTGGTCAGCTTTATTTTTGTCTTGCTTGCTGTGAGGCAGAAAATAGCGAAGCGTGTAGAAGGAGTCAGCAACAACCATAGTCAAGGGCTGAATGACAAGCCAGCGTTCAGCAAATGCTCGCATGTGTTTTTTTGTATGATGAAGCTGATATTATAATTCCTGTTGTTCTGAGCTGGTACCTTGGATCAGGACTGGGCCTGATACACATTTTCTACCTGGTCAGTGTTGGTATCAATCTTACACTGAACCTTAACTACTGTCATGCAGGTGTCAGCTGATGAAAACTCATGTCGCTGACGAGCGCTTTGCATAAACAGATTGTGACTGGAGGGCATTAAGCACCACAGAAGTCTATTTTTTGAAGTTTATTTTTTGTCAGTCATAGTTAATGTCATATCTTTCTCATAGACGGTTGTGTTGTGGGTTCTCTTCACTCTGTCACACAGTGAACATTCTGTACGGTACCTTGATGATCTGAAGGTGTGTGAGCTGTCTGACGGAGTAGTCGGGCAGGTAGACGTTCCCCCCTCCATTCAGCTGGCCCATGCTTCCTCCGTACAGCATCGACTCGGAGCGGTCCAGACCGCTGCTGCGAGACGGCGATCTGTGGACTGCAGCCGACACAAACAGACGACGTCGATCAGATCCTGAACGGGATGCCAACTTCATTTCGCTTAATTTAGAAGTTGCTGCCGAAAGCTTCCGTTCATTTCAGTCACGTCACTCGATGAACGCTGCTTTCATGAGGCAGCTACATGACTTCAGAGGAAGGAATCTGAACGCTGAAGATTTGCTCATTCACAAATTAAACACAGTGGTCGCAAGATATAACTCATAGCAGTGATTTGACAGGACGAATTGTAGATTTTTCTCGTTTTTGTTTCCATCTGTGTGCAGTCAATAAAAGAAAAAACACTCTGTGGCTGTTGTTTAGTGTAAATGCTCAAGTTTTTCTGTGTATTTATGTTTGTTTTTACTTCTTCCTGTTTAGGGAAACTGTGCATTTAAAAACTGGGACATTTTGGTGCAACTATGTCCATGTAGGAGCTAGATGAAGATTGCATCACAAGTTCAGGGTGAAGATTTTGATGTAGTTAGACGTGTAGCTGGACATGAAGTTGAGAAAGAGGTGGTTTTGTTTGGATATTAGTGGGCAGTATCACAAGAATATATAAGTACATATAAGTGTGTATTTGAACCTGTTGGCATGATGGCCGGCACCCCGAAGTAAGAAAAAGCTCCGTTCTCAAACTTGAGCGCCTCTTTACCAAACTCCACCTCGACTCGACCCTAAAAAAACAAACACACAGCATGAGAGCTCACCGACGTCCGTATGAGACCAACATAGATAATTAACATCCAAAGGAAAGATCAAAGTGTCGCGGGCACCTGCAGCACCAGGATGAAGTAGTCCACCGGTTTGTTGCGCTGGAACAGGAAGTGCTGCGGCGCTCGCTTGTTCCGCTCGTCAAACTTGAGCTCCTGAACCACACTGGGGTGTTTAATGAGCCTCAGCAGGATCTTCTCTGAGATGTGAGCTGGTTTGAAGGGCTCCACCTCTGACGATGAAACACACACAGACCCACATGAACAAGCTTGTGAAGGACTTTATGTGCAAAGTGTCTGCTCTAAAAAAACCTTAGAAACTTCTCTTTCTTTCTTTTTAAGGTCATTTATGAATAAAAATATGATTTTCTGCTTTAGAGAGCATCACTGGTTTACAGTTATGTGTTGGTGACGGGTGAAGATGTTTAAAATGAGTTATAACATCCAAAAAAAGACATTCCTTTGCTCTTAAGAGTTTTTCTGGAGAGCCAGCTCAACTAAAAAGCAAATGTTGTCATGACTGTGAGGGTTCAGTCCTCCAGGTCGTGGTTATTCTGGTAGATTAATAGTAGCAACTGCTTGAGTTCCTTGAAGACGTTCCACCTCTTATCCAAGAGGCTTCATCAGCTCTGACTGACTAGTTGGGAGTTCCAGATGCTGATATATTGGAGGTTTGTTGCTCCTCCCCCTCGTTAAGTGAGTCACATAACGAGGGGGAGGAGCAACAAACCCCCAATTGAAACTGAAACTCTGTTAATGTTAATGGCTCCTTAAGGATGTCTGGAACTCCCAGCTTGTCAGTCAGAACTGATGAAGCCTCTTGGATGAAACGTCTTCAATGAACTCAAGCAAGTCCAAATGTAGTATTATAAATGATAAATAGAGCTGTCAAAACAGAAGGACATCATGTGTTTCTTAGATCTCTCATGATGTTAATAAGATGTTAAGACTGCCAGAACTTATCAGGAATTATATTCAAGGAGTTAAAAGATTCGTTCAGACCGCTGGTTGTCTGCATTTTCAAGATCCAGTAAATTAGTCCACTGACGCATAGAAAAGTGTTTGTTACAAGTCTGTTTTGAGAACGACTACACTGTGCTTTGTCCCTGTTTCGTCTGTTTTATCCTTTCTTCTGTAACCCCATGTTGAAGAGTCGAGGCACAACGAACGATAAACTGTGTACACAGCTGCAGAAATCAAATGCTGTGAGCAATCAGAAAGGTTCTGTGCTGGAGTAAAATTCATTCCCTAGAACTTGCTTCAGACTTTGGTCCCTGCAGTGGAAAAGCACTCCAACAGTTCTTAGTCTGTGGGTGAAGTTCCTGCAGTGGAAAAGCCCTCTAAGACTTGTCACTAATCCTACAATTAGGCTTTAACCAAAACCTAAAATCCACCTTATTGTCTTCATTAACAGTGAATGTGTTTGGGTGAACTGCTTCGTTCCTCTCCTCCCTGTGAAGATGTTTGTTGTCTAAAGTCTAGAAACACAAGATGCTGGCGCGGCGGCTACCTGTGGAGAGGAAGCGATGCGTTGCCAGGAGGAGCTGAGGAGAAATCTTCACTTTCATCTCGTTCTCCGACAGTTTGAAGATGGAGAAGTCCTGCTGCTTTCGCTCGTGGTGAGAAACTCGCCGCTTCGTGCGATTGTCAGCTGAGAAAAAACACCAACGCGCACGAAATGAGACGCGATCCAACAACGCAGCTCGTCGAGCTCGTGTTTGCATACGTACTGTAGAGGTCTGTCTCATCCAGGATCTCCGACTTGATGATTTCCTCGATGACGTCCTCCAGGGTGACGATGCCCATCACCTCGTAGAACGGGTCGCCTTCGCCCTCGTTGTTCACGCGCTGCACAATGGCGAGGTGGGACTTCCCTGGAAGGTAAACAGAGAGTCAGGGTCAGTTTTTCCATGATAACAGTCGGCTCATAGGGAAGACAAGTAGTTTGTCGGTGCTAAAATCCAATTAAACTGAGCGTATCCCTTTATGTAAAACATGCAGCTGTTAACCTGACAGACTATTTCTCCTGTCATAAACAACACACCATCTCCTCTTTTTTGTAAGATTCACAACTGTGTTCACAAATAGGGCGGGAACCACTGATTAACTCACATACAGTGATGATGTAGAGCATCAAGGCCATTATGTACAAAGCATCATGATATCTGTGTGACTGAAGAAGGGAACAAAAAAAAAAAACCCTAAAAAGGCGGAAAAGTGGAAATTATGTGTTTAATCATTGCATTATGGTGTCAGTATGTGTGTTTTTTTTGTGTGTATGAACTGACAGCAGTTAATCTGAGGGGACTTGACTGCTGGTTGGGGCTCCATCAACAGTGTGGATGCATGGCCGATGGATCCGGGGCTCCGTCTGATTGGTCAACTGTCTGCATCCTGAGCGTGCAAGTGCAACGACCATTTAATAGGTCCATGCTCCATGCACATAAAAGGATGTTTCACACCGGTCATGCAATGTTTATATTCTGGATGTTCATGTAAAGGTGACAAATAGTCCATCCATCCAT